CCTCCCTCCGCCCGGCGCCCCCCGCTCGCTGCCGGCCTTCCCCCCGCAGGTACCCGGTGCCTCCTTCCTTCCCGCCACCGCCCCGACCCCGGGACCCCGGCACCCGTCCCCTCGGGACCCCGTCCCCCCGGGACCCCGGCACCCGTCCCCCCGGCACCCGTCCCCCCGGGGATCCACACGTTCCTGCCCTCTCCCGTGATCCTGGGATGTTCTGATCCTTTGCAAATCCCTTTCCCTTTGACTCCTGTTTTCCAAGCCCCTCGCCTAAAAATGCACACGCGCCCACCATTATTACCGGTGTGGGTGGGTTGTTTGGGTTGCTGCTTTGATGGTGCTTGGGGGTTTATTTTACCAGTGTCCCAGCATGAGCTGGTAGCTGCAGAGACTCATCTGAATGACCCTTTTCTTGGCTGGTTTGCTGGCAGGGCCCCCCCTTGCCCCCCCAGTGCAGTTACTGTTCATATATTGTTGCTTAACCCAGTGTGTTCTGTAACCCCACGTGTTGCTCTCACAGACCTTCATTTTACAGTCCATCCTGTGACACTTTGGGGTTGGTTTTTTTTCCCCTCTTATATGCTAGAATTCTGTATTTCCTACTATCTTTTGTAACCCTGTTCCTCATATTATTTCTTTAGTTCTTGACTCCTATTTTTTCCTCTCCTGCTTTTCTTACAATCATACCCATTTTCTCTGGGGATTCATCAGTCTCTGTGCTTCCTGTTGAACTGGGGAAGACGTGAACAACTTTAACCCAGAACTGAGGTCCTGATTCTTTTGTTCTGTGGCCTCCAGGCACGGGACATGGCCACAGAGGTGGCTGAGCCTGTGGTGCCAGACTGCAGAGGAGACGTGAGGAGCGGTGCCAGGTCAGATGCTGACTATCCTCTCCGGGTTCTCTACTGTGGAGGCAAGTGCTGAAGGGGCAGTTGTCCACAATTCTTACCCTGTGAGGGCAGCCCAGGAGGGAGAATGAGGGAAGTGGAGATTTTCTTTTGGTCAGCAGCCTTCCAGTGCTTGAAGGGGCCTACAGGAAAGCTGGGGAGGGGCTTTTCATCAGAGAAGACAGTGATGGGAGAAGGGGTGATGGTTTTAAACTGAGATGAGGGGAGACTTAGGTTGGATATTAGGAAGAAATTCTTCACTCTAAGGGTGGTGAGGAACTGGAATGGGTTGCCCAGGGAGGTTGTTGATGCCCCATCCGTGGAGGTTTTTAAGGCCTGGTTGGATGAGGTTTTGTGCAACCTGGTCTAGTGGTTCCCTGCTCATGGCAGGGGGGTTGGAACTTGATGATCTTTAAGGTCCCTTCCAACCTCAATGATGTTGTGATGTTCTGTGATATTTTAAGTAAGAATCTGGATCTTGGGCAGCTTGACCTCTCTGGTCATCCTGAAATAGCTCATGTTCTGTGCTTTGTCTAAAGCCCTCATGGTGAAGTCTCTCTTCCCTCTGGGAGCTGCAGGTTTTCCACACCAGCTCGGTGTGGAAAAGTGGGATTAATGGGAATGGTGCTCAGCTTGTGAGCTGTTGAGCAGAAACACCTTCCTGCAGAAAGCCAGTAAATCCTTCAGCACAGAAAAGGCCTCTGAGCATTAGTATGACAAGAATAAATGAATTCAGAAATCATTACAGTAATCACTGCACTGTTTAGAATTATCCTTTGCTCATTGTGTTTGTAGTTATGTGGATTAAATGTCAAGGGAAGTAAATGATCTTGACAGGTACATATTTTAGGTAGGTATGGTACTTTGGTGTGGGCTTGCACACAGTGTCAGGGGGTTAGGAAGGAATCCCCACTGTGTGTCCAAGCCTGCAGGGTTGGTTTGGGTTTGCTCTGGGGCCGAGTCCCTCTTCTAGACATTGGCAGCTCATGGAAAAAGGAAATCTAAGCAGATCACCTGGTAATTTATTAGGTAGATGTTTTGTCATTGGTAGAACTGGTGTTTCTTCCTGTAACGTTTCCCAAAGCTGCAGGCACCTCCCTTCCCTCATTGCCTGGCTGCTCTGCCTGTGATGGTTCCATCCTAATGCAAAGTGTCTGAGCAAAGGACTAACCAGAATAAAATTAAACTGTGGAGTGGTAGAAAGAATCCTTTTAAGCCAATGTCGGCTCATAACCAGAAGTTATGATGTCAGAATTCACCCCTACTTTTAAAATACCATTTTGAATTGAATGCTAAGGCTGGACATGGAGAACTTCTGTATGTAATCTGTTTTTTTTTCCCTCCCTTTCTCCAGTCTGTTCCTTGCCAACAGAGGTGAGTTGTTTTTTGCTGTTGTCCAAGTTTCTCCTTTCTGTCCTGTGATTCCTGACTATGATGATTATTTTTCTCATGTTTTCTGGCATTTTCTTACTTGTGGCAGTTCTGGGCTTCAGCAGACCTTCTCATCTTGAGGGTCTTTTGTGTTATTACAGTGTTCATGCTCAGTCCTCTTCAGGAGAAATGGCTGAGCTGAAAAGCAAGGATATTTGGGGGGCTTTGTGGTGTATTTTGGAGTTTCTCTGCTAACACCTTTCCCATCCCTTTTCCCCTAGTACTGTGAGTACATGCCTGATGTCACTAAATGCAGACAATGGTTAGAAAAGAATTTTCCAGATGAGTTTGCAAAACTTACAGTAGGTAAGAATCTTCTCTATTTTCTGATATGTGCCCTTAGACACAGTCAGAAATCTTGGAGCTTGTCTGATCCTCTTTTTCTGCTGCACCAAGTGTGAATCTTGGAGCTTGTCTGATCCTCTTTTTCTGCTGCACCAAGTGTGAAGCTTCCTAATTTTCCTAGGAGCCTACCATACTTTTGGATGCTGTGAAAATATGTTTGATAATGTCAGAAAACACTGAATAAATAAAAAAAATGTGAAGTTGCAGTAATAATGTTTGGACTTTTTTAAGGTTCCTATTGTAACCCCCATCAAAGTCAGTTCATTGGATCTTGTGTCTCTCTGGTTGACTGGAGGAAGTGCCATTAATCATGGAGAACTTGATTTGCATTTGAAATTTCAATCTTAACACAAATTTCTGTCTCTCTGTGATAACTGCATTAAGAGACTGTATTGAGGTTGTGACTGTATCTTTGAGCTAAGGCTTTTCTACAGCCTCATTTACATAAGGGCTCTAATGAAGGTGCCATGCTGGTCAGTCAAGGGGCTGCAGCCCTTCAGCAAAGGGTTTATGGATTCAGCAGAGGATCACTGCACCTCACTGCCCATTCCTGGGACGCTGTGGTTGTCTGACCACTCACTTTGTTCTCTTTCTCCTCTCCACCTCTTTCTGATGGATGTCAAGAAAACTCACCTAAGCAGGAGGCTGGGGTTGGAGAAGGCCAAGGAACTGCAGGAGGAGAAGAAGAAGAGAAGAAGAAGCAAAAGAGAGGCAAGGTCTAAATAGTTGCTTGTGGTACTGGTATGATGAGCAGTTTGGGGCATTCCTTTCTCACCTGCAGATCTGGACTGTGGCACAAATTCCTTGTGTTTGGGTTGTTAGCTACCTTTGGACTGCAGGAAAGATACTGAATGTCTGTCTTCAGTGGCAGCAGAGTTGGGGCAGGGATATTTGCTGCTGGAAGGACTGGATGGCAGGAATAGCAAGTGGAAAGGTCCCCTGCATCCTGTGTCCCCTGGTTCCTGTCACTGCTTTTCCACTTATTCAGGGAGTAATTCTTCTCAACCTAAAACCAGCTGGCAGGCCTCTCAAAGTACTTATTGGTGCCCTGTTTAACAGCAGGTTGTAGGTTGCTTGCAGAGTATAAGGAAGAGAACTTTCCTCTGCTCATGCCTCCTGACACTGCTTTTGCCTTTTTAAATTCCCTCTAATTCACAGAACAGGATTTGGTTTTATGCTTTCCACGCTATCACCTGTGTCTCCAGTAACAGCCAGGTCTCTCCCCAGCAATAATGCTGAAAAAACATCAGTCAAAAAACAACTTTGGCAGATACAAAATACATTAAACAATTCAAGCACACTCTTCTATCTCTGAAGTTATTTTTAATTAATTCACATACTTTCCACCATGGATTTGCCCGTGGAATGTCAGTTGTGCCTGTGGTGCTTCAGAAATTATGGTTAATAACCCAGGAAGGTTCAGATTTTAGCCACATATCCCTGCAGATGTTTCATTTTTGTGTCTTGCTAACCAGTTATGTTTACCTGGTCAGTAGTCTGACCTAATCCTGTAGTGACAAGAGTAATTCACATTCTGCAAATTGGATGCTTTTCCCAGAGACTTCAGGCCGTTTTCTTTCAGATTTAATTTATTGTGTGGGGTGGTATGATTAGTTTCCAGCCTGGATTTTGTTTCTAAAAAGAACAGTGTTTTAAATATATAGAGATTTTTCTCCTAGAATCTAAAGTTTCAGGCATATTTGCAGTGTGGTGGTTCAAGATGGATTGTAACAGAGGGTGAGGAAAAACACTCAAGACACTGTGGAAATTTACAAATAAATTTACTGTCTTAAATTACCAGATAGAAATTTCTAGCAATTAGAAAAAGAAGTGGCACAAGGGGTTAGTTTGCTTGTCCTACATTTTTCAGGTTTTCCTGCTGAGAACGCTGGGGAACATGAGATTGGTTATCCTGGAGTAACTTGATGACTGTGTACAAAGTTAACCAAGATCCTAATCTGACTTGGAAGAATCCTAATGAGCAGAATATCTCTTTTGCATGCTTTGCTCAGCCTAATAAATGCCTGATATGTGAAGTATTCCCTCAGGTTGGCCTAGAAACAGAAGAAAGAGGATGGTAGATCCTGTGGAAGTTTGGCAGTCAGCTTTCTGTGAGTGTGATGTCATCTGACTAATGATGAAACCTTGTGCTCTGTGTTAAAGGTGGAAGAGGTCAGATAAAACAGAAAAAGAAGACTGTACCACAGAAAGTCACAATAGCTAAAATTCCTAGAGCAAAGAAAAAATATGTCACAAGAGTGTGTGGCCTTGCAACGTTTGGTGAGTTGGCTTGTGCGTATGTGCTTTTTGTTTGGTTTAGATGTCCTGGGTGAAGAAAGGTGTGCCCAGATGGAGCAGGTGGCTGAGCTGCAGGAAATGGTGAGGGTGGTGAGACCCTGGAACAGGTTGCCCAGGGAAGCTGTGGCTTCCTCATCCCTGGAATTGTTGAAGGGCAGGTTAGATGGAGCTTGGAGCAACCTGGGCTGGTGGGAGGTGTCCCTGCCCATGCAGGGGGTTGGAACTAGATGATCTTTAAGGTCCCTTCCAACCCAAACCACTCCATGATTCTATGACTATTAATCTTACCTATTCTTGAGACTGATTAAATAAGGGTTTAATTGCCTTTCCAGTAGAGCAGTCATTTAAATCATTATCAAAGAACACTGTCCATAGCTTTGGTTCAGCTGCAAACAGCCCCCTGGTGTTTGTGTCTGTAACATCATTTTACTTCATACAGTGATCACAAATTCTGTTAAAAAGGCAAGATCTAACCTTGGTTGTATTAACAAGATCTGTTGCATATTTCCTGCATGAGAGTGTCATGGGTGTTCTTGTGGGATCAGTGAGATGCACCAGTCTGTTCCAAACTGGATGTGCATCTTTGTGCTGGAAGCCAATCTCAGCAATTGCTGGGACATGTTCCTGAAAGGAAGATACTGAAGCACTTATGGAAAAAAACTTGATCAGTAATTGTGGAAGTTGCTCAGAACTGGAAGGGCTTTTTAATCAGACCTGCATGTTTTTTTTCCTGGTGGGTGTGTGCAGTGTAGCCCTGCACAAACAGCCTGTGCTGGGGACATTCAGCAGTTCTGCTGGGAAGAGTTTGCTGGATTTGTAGAGTCAGTTGTTTTGTATGTGAACAACAGGTTTTTGCTTTCAATGGAGACTACAGCAGAGCTTTAACTGTGAGCTGCCATTAGTTCTTAGGCTGTTAAAACAAGATTTTGGTTTTAAACTTGAGAAAACACTTCTATGAAATGACAGAACTTCAATTGTTTTCCCATCAACAGAAATTGATCTGAAGGAAGCACAAAGGTTTTTTGCTCAGAAATTTTCCTGTGGTGCCTCAGTAACAGGAGAAGATGAAATCATCATTCAGGGGGATTTCACAGATGACATTATTGATGTCATTCAGGAGAAGTGGCCTGAGGTAAGAAACCCTCTTCCTGACAAAACTCTGCTGTTCCTCAATTACTTTCTAATGGTTTTGTAAAAGGGGTTTCATCTTCCCCTCCTTGCATGATGAGGTTAAGGAGTGATTAAACTCCCAGTCAGATGTTGGTTCCATTGTCCAAGGAACAGGAATTCCCTGCATGTGCAGTGCTGCTGCTGTGGGGAAGGCAGGTCAGAGTCAGTCCAGCTGGCAAACTGCTGTGTCTTCTTTGTGACTGTTCCTTGAGGGTGAATGCCCAAATATTCCATTGCCATCCTATTTTAAAAGTCTCTTTAAATATTGCTACATTCAAGGAAGCCCAAACAAACAAACAAAACCACTTGTGCTTTAGAAGAAATGAGCTGGTTTTGGGTTGGATTAAAATGTTGATGGTTGAGTGGTTTGGTTGCATTGCTGTAATCACAGGTGCTTCCTTTGACTCTTCCCTGGTTCTGGTATTTCCTGATTGCAGTTCTTCTGGGAAGAATTCCAGGCCTGTCTTTATCCAGAGCCCTCTGGGCTTGGCTGTGTAGAATTTCCAGCAGAGAATCTCAGATGGTGCCTTGTACTTCTCCCACACTTCATTACATGTACAGTGGTAAATATTGAGTGAAACATATCAGAAATTATACTGAATATGCTGTGTTTTGGCCTTTTTCTTTTATTCCTAGGTGGATGATGATAGCATTGAAGATCTTGGAGAAGTCAAGAAGTGACAGTGGAAGTCTTACCTTTATTTAATTACATGGTTATAAGTGATGTAGCCAAAGTGAGGCACCTAAATCCATTTGCTCTGCAGGGAAACCATGGAGCACCCAGATCCTTGTTATCTCCCCTCTTCTGTATAGGCTGCTTGGGTTTTTTGTTGTGATATTTGCCAAAGTTAAATTGGGGTTCTATCATGCTTATGCATGAAGTAGGTTAAATAAAATTACTGTTCCTCACTGAACAGTTTCTGGTTTCCTTACAGATACATTCCTCAAACAGCCTTACAGGAAAAGTAATCATTTAAGTCATTAAAAGCTTATTTTACATCTGCTGCCCCTTCTGCTGAACTTAAGTGAACGAGGCACGTGGCTGATGTACAGAAACTCTTACATCTTTGTTGGAGACATGGGCTGTGGGACTGAGTGAATCCTCAGCAGGTTTGCTGACCATACCAAGCTGTGTGGTGGGGTTGATGCCACCCAGAGGGACCTTGACAGGCTGGAGAGGTGGGCCCATCCCAACCTCATGAAGTTCAACAAGGCCAACTGATCTTTAAGGTCTTTTAAGCTTCCTAAGGAAGCTGATGCTGGTTTAGCTGGAATAAAGGCAGGGGCCCATAAATGCTGTATGAATTATGTAAATTGCATTTAGCCATAGAGAGTTCTGTCATCTGTAACCCCTTTGACATCCTTGTTTTTGGAGGGGGAGGAAACAGCCAGAATTTGGGGGTGCTGCCTGGGCAGGGATGCTCAACTGCCACGCCAGGGTGTCCCCATTATTTTGGGGGAGAAAAAGTGCTGGAAATTGCATCACCTTAATGGGGGGGGTGTTCTGTATGGCTTTTAAAAACAGGAAAGGAATCCTTCAGATGACTGGAAATCTTGTTTTTATTATTATTATTAATAATAATAATATTTTTCATGGGCTTTACAACCAGAAATCATTGAAGCCTGTCAATCATTCAAGCTGCACCCTGCTGCTTTGGGGCTTTGGGGGTCATCGGCATCAACTCAGTTTGATCTGGGCCCTGCTTCTGATCTCTCTGCCCCAGCAGAAGCCTCGCAGGACGGCGATTCCCCCGCTGCCCTCCCGTTTTC